AGGTGTCAAACATATAGCCCACTAGGAGGTCCAATCCAGCCTGCGGGTGATTTGAGTAAAAAAAGATTAAGCTCAATATACTTTAAAATGACTAAAACCAAATTGAAACTGTGTAGAAATGATAATGGCCATACATTACTAAAGTTTCTTGACTATGTCCAGCTTGCTAATAATCAGCAAAATGAAAGCTAGACATTCAGGGAGCACCGGAACTTCCAAGAGCTATGGATAGAGGACTATTTTTAGCAACATTTTGACAGCGAGGAAATATGACACATTTCAGTGCAGCTCTCTGGACCTCGTTAAAGACTAAATGCGGCCCCTGGAGCTGAATGAGTTTGACACCCCTGCTCTAGTCCCTTCATGGTCTTTTCTCCCAAGCAGAATATAAAGGGGTGGGTTAGAAGGATGAAGAGAGGGAGGGGTAAGTGCCACTGGGCCCCTGAGCTATGGCCCTATTAATCACCAGAGAGAGAGAGAGGGATATAAAGATGAGGGAGGGAGGAGGATTCGGCTGAAAAGAGGACAAAAGAGAGACCTGGATGTATTAAAGGGGTTTCAATGTATTTTCAGTGGAGCAGGATAGTAGGGCTGGGTCCCAAATGGCACCGTATTCCCTTATTAGCACTACCTTTGACCCTGGTCAAAAGCAGTGAACTGTATAGGGAATACGGTGCCATTTGGGACCCAGCCCAGGATTTGTCCCAGGCAGACAGACAAGTGAGACATCAGATCTCTCTGCTTCGCTATGACCAGAGGTGACATGGCAACGGGAATCTGATACTCATTCTATTGATCATGGAGCAGGTCATAGAGACCCTATAATGACCTGAATTATATTCAGGCAACATGCAGGGAGAAGAGGAGAGGAGAGGAGAAATAGTCAGAGCTCTAAAGTGTATGATCCATCCATACATTCGGATGAGAATACAAATTCAACGAACAACAAATAGGCCTGTGTTCATAGCTTTATATTTAAAGTATACACAATGAAGTATGCACAATAATGCAACCTACACTAGTACAATGTTCCACACGCTCAGTAATGTTGGATGAATGAAGGTACATTTTGCCATGTTATGGATGAGACGGCAGTTTCGTCTGACATTTAAAGTGAAGGAAGCTTTGAGCAAAAAGCATACATTATGATCATCATTAAATCTCTAACACAGTCCTTAATTATTTTAGGCAACATTATTATTTAGTACAGTTACAGCAGAGTAGAAATACAAAATAATAAACAAAAACTCATCATCATCAGAATGCTTTTTATGTACAACCCAGTGCCTTACAGAACAGCCTCTTTGTTCTCAGTACATTGCACAGGCCTGACTTCTTCCACTGACATCAACACAGACTTAAGCAAGCTTAGCCGGATCCCATACGTTATAAATATGAATATTAAGGTTCAAAGACCGCCCCTCACACCCCAAACCCACACATAGACTGTCAGTAGAGAATAGGACCTCCCCCAATATGGACACAGACCTCTACCAGGGAGCGTTCAGATATAAATATATTATGTAGAACATGTAAAATAAGGAATCATGTCTGCTCTCTTCATGACATCCCACAACGTGCCACAGACTCCTTCAGAGAGAACGCCAGCTTGACCTCCAATGACCCCTGACCTTTGATGAGCCCTGACAGTTATGTCTCTGTCTGACTCACTCTCCCACATAAGAGTGCACACATAAGCACACAGCCTGTGACTGACGACCAGACGATACGCATGTGCCATCGCTCTCCCTTTCAGGAGTGTAGGTGGCTGGCTGTGACGCGTGTATATGTCTATGTCTACATTGGGAGAGTGGAGTCAGAGTGTGCATAGGTAGGTGCCTGTAACGTCTGTGTGTGTTTCTGTCTATGTTGGGAGAGTGGGGGTCACTGACTAGGTCTGGGGGGGGCCGCCGTGTCGTGGAGCTAAGATAACGCGGCATAAAACATAAGCTCGACCGATGAGGTCATGAGGGGTCATCTAGGAACCCCAGAGGAGCAGCTGGTCTCAGAGTGGAGGAGTGATTAGCCATGGAGGGAGGAGTGTACCAAAAAGGGGGGGTTCTGTTCTGCATCTGTGGGAGGGGTCTGAGCCAAGGGAGGGCCACACCCATATCTCTGTATCTGCAGCTCCTACGCTTTGAGCCCAGCCTGGCCCGGACCAGCAAGCGCATTGTGAGGACAGCGCCAGGACCACCAGGACATCGCCCACTAGTGGCCTCTTGTCTGCTACTGCACCACCGACCGGACAGAACCCAGGCTGCTGCTAATATATCTACTGTTACGCTGTACATTCTATGTTCACCTCAACCCTTCACATCAAGGCTTCGTCAATAAGATCCTCTTCCTCCTCATATAGCTCCAACCTCAGCCCACTATACAGCACCCACCTTTCCTACACTAAACTCACACTCCGAGCTCAGCTCACACTCCGAGCTAAACTCACACTCCGAGCTAATGAGCTCAACTCACACTCCGAGCTACACTCACACTCCGAGCTAATGAGCTCAACTCACACTCCGAGCTCAACTCCCACTCCGAGCTTCACAGGTTGACCACACACTCAGAAACATCATCAGTCATACAAACATGCACACACACACACACACTCACATTCGGCTTAATGCTCACACACACTAACACATGCATCCATGCACTCTGGTGTGCTCAGTCTTCACAGATATACGTCTATACATAAGCATGTTCATAATCATACATATATAGAAAAGAAAGGTATCGTAGAACTGAAATGAGAAAAAGGAGGGGGCTGTTGGTTAGCACTCGTAGTACTTAAGATTACAGTTGGAGTTGTTGCTTGTGCAAGTCGTCTAGAGAGGACAGTAAAATGGAGTGTTGCATTTCCCAGGTCTGGATTGGAAGGACAGTTCAGGTAGCTCTCTAGAGAGCGCCTTCCTTACCTGTTAAATATCAGTAGTATAAAGACTAACGTCGAAACCTCTCTTTTCTTTTATAATTAAGTACATTGTTTTGTTTGGGGCAGTGGTACCTTTGAGCTTAGTCCTTTTTAAAACCCCCGTCGTGTCACGGCAAGGTTTAGTTTGCTCCAGTCCAGTGAGTGGGTGGTACCTCTGACTAGGAGGAGGAGGGGGACGGGGGAGGTTTGGGAGCAGGAGGGGGGAGAAGGAGACAGTCTGTGGTCGAGGAGGAGTGTCTCAGGTTAGGTGGTCTCCTTGCCCTGTGCTCCCGTCGCGGTCTTAATGGAGGTTAAGGTTCTGTTGAACCAGGTCTTCTTAGCAGCCTGGACCTCGTTGAGAGCCAGACCCAGGGTGTGCTCCAAGTCCTGCGCAGGAGAAAACATACAGGAAAGAGGTTAGGCAAGGGGCTGGAACTGCAGGGCTAGCCTGGTGTAAGGGAACAGGAGATTAAAACTAGAATGAATGAAAACTTGTATTGCCTCAAATTCCCTTCAGTAATGAATTCATTAATTGTTAGGATACAATAGCCGCATTTAAATGAACTGATAGAGGACCTCAGTTGAGTTTAGTCTATGGGGGTAGCTACAGTGTGGATGATAACAATTTAAGCATAAGTATTGGGGTCGTTTTGAAGTGAGCCTAGTACCTGTATCTTGCACTCTGCCTCCACCAGCTGTAGTTTGGTCTGGGCCAGTTCCAGCTCCATCTCTCTGAGCTGGTTCTTCAGAGCCTCCTTCTCCTCGTCCGTCTCTTCCTCACTGCCCTCCTTCATCTTCTTCACTGCCTTCAGACGACCCTCCTTGTTGAACAGGATGGAGCACTTCTCACAGCCTTCGACTTTCAGCTGTAGGGGAGAGAGACCACATAGAGCGGGTCATGGGTTATAACATGACTACATGACTACAGACTATCCACTTCTCACAGCCTTCTACCTTCACCTGTACAGGGGAGAGGCCAGGAGACAGGTTATACCAGGCAGGCACAGCTTATACCACTAGACTTCTAAGCCTATCCATTCAGACAACCCTCTTTGTTCAACAAGATACTGCATTTCTCTCAGCCTTTTACCTTCAACTGGAGCGAGAGAGACCCAGACACAGGTTAAACCAGGACACATGTTTTACCACAAACATACACCACATAAGTTTACAAAACTACATCACTGGGGATCCTCACTTTCCAGCTAGCTCACACAGGTATCTCCCTCCCCCCTGTCATTTTCCTCCAGCGGGTGGTGTGTGGACTGAGTAAGTACAGGCAGCTGCAACTGTAATGAGCAATGTGGCTGTGAGGAGGGTAGCAGGGTAATAACAGGTCTTAAGTGGCAGGCTGAGGGTCTCTCCTTCACTGGAGAGATAGTCCTCAGCTGTTTCAAAAGCCGTCTCATCCTCCTCCTCACCCCACCACGCCTGGAAATGAGAAGCTCGATACCAACTCCATGATCATCCAATATCACTATCCAGAGTCCTAAGGCACAGTGAGACAGAGAGCTGGGCTATTCTGTCTGTGTTATCAAAAGGGAATAGAAATTGATTCTTTGTCCTAATCTCCTAATTCTCATATAAGACTTCTGAGGTTTGAATATTAGGCTATAATCATGGTTGCTGATAGTACACATTTTACATTCCATGATACATTAAGATCACTTTATTGGTCAATTGCACACAAGGTCCAACTGACTTCCGCTTTTAACCCAATCCCTCTGAAATACACACACACACACACATACACATATATATATATATATATATATATATATATATATATACAGGTTTTGGAAGGTGCGGAGGGCTGTCATACATGGTCTCTTGTAAAATAAATTGTATCTCGATGAGACTAACCTGTAAACATAAAGACGAAATAAACTTAGCAGCTAATGTTAAATTGCTAAGTGGAAGGAAAATAAATGAAAAATGAGAACTACACTCACTCGCACAGCCATACAAAGAAAGCATGTACATTTGAATACAGCGGTTTGTCATGTGATTGAGCAGTCTGTCATGTGAGTCTGTCATGTGATGGGTGATCTGTCATGTGATTGTGTGATGTCATGTGACATGGTCTCACCCGGATCTTCTCCAGCTCTCCCTTGTTGGCCGTCTGCTGTTTTTCCAGACGCTCACTGAGCTGGGAGCAGATCTATAGGGGTCAACATAGAGGTCAAAGGTAAAGAATTTAGAACACTGAGGTCAACTCCACACACAGGGTGAATCTCAAACACCTTTCCATGAATCCTCCCTCATCTGTATGGGTGTAGTCCCAGGCAAGCCGTGGCTCCATCCTCTTACAGTTAAGTGTATTAACTCAACTACACAACACAACTCCTGTCATTAGAGGATTACATAACCATCCGCCCGGCCCTACTCTGCACCGGTGGAGTATTCGTTAGGCACCACACAGAAGAAAACTGACTGAAACAGGGAGGTACTACCTGAACTTGTCTAATAAGAAACACTAATATTCTATTGGAAAATGTCTTGCTACGGTGTGCCCTTATGAATACAACCCACCCCATGCGTCCACCTCACCGCAGGGAGGTGGATGCAGGGAGATCGATGGGAAATTAGCCATCCTAACTGGAACATTTAATCAATTTCATCACCTCTCTTTCATCCCAGAAATCCCATCTATCCCACTCCACCCGTCTGTCACCGTGGCAACACCACACACACACATCTTCATTTAGAGAACAAAGCCTGGTTCATCGCCACGACTATGGTTAAAATAGGACGGCGGAGCGATTAAGCAACACTAAAAACAGAAATTCATTACCCTGCATAAGCTACTGTAATTAACAAACAATGTGTTATTAATCAGAGAGAATAGAGACATGGTATCTCTGAGTCACTTATAGTTTAGTGGTTATTTGGAGGGAAGGGTTTTTAGCTCTGGGATTATGAAGGCTTTGTTGTGGGCAGGTTATAAATGGTTTAGATCATTAAGGCAAGACCCTTGCCTCCGCCAGACAGTCTAGCTAGCTACCCTGCCAACTAGGGTTTTTCAGGCTTTGGTCCAGCTCAGTACGAACACACCCAATGCAACATAAGAAGGGCTTTGATTACGGAATCAGGTGTGTTAGTACTGGGCTAGAACAAAAGCATGCATATCTTCCCCAGCTCTACTTGTTCCCACCTGTTGGAGCAAAATTGTTTTGTTACAGTCTAACGCTGTGTAAAATGCTTAAGTTGAATAATACCACAGCTGTCCAGTAACCTCTTTACATACCGCACGGATGAGTGATTTATTACTGGCTCCTTATTTTTAGGGCACTAAAAACCTAGCCAGGCGAAAATCTAGTTTCCTCTGTTCAGGCTTTAAAGATCTTATCACTCCTCTATTATAGGCTGTGAGAACTGGTTAGAATCGGTTCTTGTTTGTACTATTCTTCTAAGAAAGTGGAGCCAATTACCTCTTATCTCTTTAGTAAGCTTACCTCCCCCTATGAGAGGTAAACAGCTCTTTGTGTAGATTAACTATACAAAGACTGTGTGACTTGTAAATAATCAAGTTCCTCCCCGGTATATCCGGAGAGTTAACTTCCTTGCAATTGCTTGAATAAACTCTTAAAAACTGGAAAATTAGCTCTGCCTGATCCTTGGAACGAGTTTATCCTCAACACACCTGTCTGTCAGCCTGCTATTCCTGATGTGTGAGCTCCAGCCTGCTGCTGGTCCCAGATCAGTTCACAGGAACCTATTAACACACTACCATACATCACACCGTCAGCAGGCCTTTTAAAACAGCCTCAGCACCACAACGGGGACCAGAGAGAAACTATTTTTAAAGAACCACATCTCCTCACCGTTTTTCTGCTTTCTGATCCGAAGAGATGCTTTCAACTGGCACATCGCAGCCAGCGGAGCTGTTACCACCAATTTGATCATTTTCTGTCATTTTCAATTTCCTATTCATATGTTTAGATTCCTGTGAAAGGTAGCTACGGCTGTTTTTAAAATAGTGAGACTATTTCTGTTGGCCCTCAGTACCTTTTGTGTAATCTAGTTTTGGTTATGTCAACTGAAGTTTGTGTTGAGGAATTAAACATATGGATAGGATGGGTTTTACTCAACAATTTATATATCAACTCCCCCACCATTGTAAAAAATATTTTGGAAGCTATAGAAATGCATTTATTAATGTCTACATTTGTTTTGCCACATTTATTATATTACAGACACCTTACAAACCTTTAAATTATATTATGTGAACTAAGCATAACAATAAAAATATTAAAATCTTCCTTAAAGTATAATTTTGGGAAATTAATATTGTTACTGTCCCCACTACAACAACAACATACTTGAATATATTTAATTTGTCCTTGAAACATTTAATTGAAATACTGTAGAATTCCATTCATTCCTATGCTCCTACTGGGGAGTGCCAATATGGCCGAACGCTGGCTACAAAGCCTCGCAATGGCCAATACAGAGTATCAGCAATTCAGGGTTTATATACATCATTGGTTTTACTGTTTACAAAATAAACTGTGGATAACAGGAGGGGACTGCTCAACTCCGTTTAGGTCCACCAAATTTGGCAGGACAGCTTTTTCAGTCAGAGCGTCTAGATAATAGAACAACCTGCCAACCAGTGTGAGAGAGTGCAGTACCTCTGCTAGCGTCAAGGCAAACCTGAAAAGGTGTCTAAAGGCTCTTATGATGTCAGATACTGTAGAACCAAGGGACATTTAAACTCAGATGGAATCAGCATTATATTGTATATTTGGATTATTATATATTTATATACACTGAACAAAAATATAAACGCAACATGTAAAGTGTTGGTCCTATGTTTCATTAGCTGAAATAAAAGATCCCAGAAATGTTGGCCACAAATTTGATTACATCCCTGTTAGTGAGCATTTCTCCTTTGCTAAGATAATCCATCCACCTTACATGTGTGGCATATCAAGAAGCTGATTAAACAGCATGATCATTACACAGGTGCACCTTGTGCTGGGGACCATAAAAGGCCACTCTAAAATGTGCAGTTTTGTCATACAATACAATGCCACAGATGTCTCAAGTTTTGTGGGAGCATGCAATTGGCATAATGACTGCAGGAATGTCCAACAGAGCTGTTGCCAGATAATTGAATGTTCATTTCTCTACCATAAGCCACCTCCATCGTCGTTTTAGAGAATTTGGCGGTACGTCCAACAGGCCTCACAACCGCAGACCACGTGTATGGCATCGTGTTAGCGAGCGGTTTGCTGATGTCAACGTTGTGAACAGAGTGCCCCATGGTGGCGGTGGGGTTATGGTATGGGTAGGCATAAGCTACGGACAACGAACACAATTGCATTTTATCTATGGAAATGTTCATGCACATAGATACCGTGATGAGATCCTGAGGCTCATTGTTGTGCCATTCATCCGCTGCCATCACCTCATGTTTCAGCATGATAATGCACGGCCCATTGTCGCAAGGATCTGTACACAATTCCTGGAAGCTGAACATTTCGCAGTTCTTCCAGGGCCTGCATACTCACCAGACATGTCACCCATTGAGCACGTTTGGGATGCTCTTGATCGACGCGTTCCAGTTCCCGCCAATATACAGCAACTTCGCACAGCCATTGAAGAGGAGTGGGACAACATTCCACTGGCAACAAATCAACAGCCTGATCAACTCTATGCGAAGGAGATGTGTCGCGCTGCATGAGGCAAATGGTGGTCACACCAGATACTGACTGGTTTTCTGATCCACGCCCATACCTTTTTTTAAGGTATCTTTGACCAACAGATGCATATCTGTATTCCCAATCATGTGAAATCCATAGATTAGGGCCTAATTTATTGATTTCAATTGACTGATTTCCTTATATGAACTGTAACTCAGTAAAATCTTTGAAATTGTTGCATGTTGCGTTTATATTTTTGTTCAATATATATACAGTTGAAGTCGGAAGTTTACATACACCTTAGCCAAATACATTTAAACTCAGTTTTCACAATTCCTGACATTTAATCCTAGTACAAATTCCCTGTCTTAGGTCAGTTAGGATCACCACTTTATTTTAAGAATGTGGAATGTCAGAATAATAGTAGAGAGAATGATTTATTTAAGCTTTTATTTCTTTCATCACATTCCCAGTGGGTCAGAAGTTTACATACACTCAATTAGTATTTGGTAGTATTGCCTTTAAATTGTTTAACTTGGGTCAAATGTTTCGGGTAGCCTTCCACAAGCTTCCCACAATAAGTTGGGTGAATTTTTGCCCATTCCTCCTGACAGAGCTGGTGTAACTGAGTCAGCTTTGTAGGCCTCCTTGCTCGCACACGCTTTTTCAGTTCTGCCCACACATTTTCTATAGGATTAAGGTCAGGGCTTTGTGATGGCCACTCCGATACATTGACTTTGTTGTCCTTAAGCCATTTTGCCACAACTTTGGAAGTATGCTTGGGGTCATTGTCCATTTGGAAGACCCATTTGCGACCAAGCTTTAACTTCCTGACTGATGTCTTGAGATGTTGCTTCAATATATCCACATAATTTTCCTTCCTCATGATGCCATCTATTTTGTGAAGTGCACCAGTCCCTCCTGCAGCAAAGCACCCCCACAGCATGATGCTGCCACCCCATGCTTCACGGTTGGGATGGTATTCTTCGGCTTGCAAGCGTCACCCTTTTTCCTCCAAACATAACGATGGTCATTATGGGCAAACAGTTCTATTTTTGTTTCATCAGACCAGAGGACATTTCTCCAACAAGTACGATCTTTGTCCCCATGTGCAGTTGCAAACCGTAGTCTGGCTTTTTTATGACGGTTTTGGAGCAGTGGCTTCTTCCTTGCTGAGCGGCCTTTCAGGTTATGTCGATATAGGACTTGTTTTAATGTGGATATAGATACTTTTGTACCTGTTTCCTCCAGCATCTTCACAAGGTCCTTTGCTGTTGTTCTGGGATTGATTTGCACTTTTCGCACCAAAGTATGTTCATCTCTAGGAGACAGAACGTGTCTCCTTCCTGAGTGGTATGACGGCTGTGTGGTCCCATGGTGTTTATACTTGCGTACTATTGTTTGTACAGATGAACGTGGTACCTTCAGGCATTTGGAAATTGCTCCCAAGGATGAACCAGATTTGTGGAGGTCTACAAAAAAAATTCTGAGGTCTTGGCTGATTTCTTTTGATTTTCCCATGATGTCAAGTAAAGAGGCATTGAGTTTGAAGGTAGGCCTTGAAAGCCTATCAGAAGCTTCTAAAGCTGGAATTCTCCAAGCTGTTTAAAGGCACAGTCAACTTAGTGTATGTAAACTTCTGACCCACTGGAATTGTGATACAGTGAATTATAAGTGAAATAATCTGTCTGTAAACAATTGTTGGAAAAATGACTTATGTCATGCACAAAGTAGATGTCCTAACCGACTTGCCAAAACTATAGTTTGTTAACAAGACATTTGTGGAGTGGTTGAAAAACGAGTTTTAATGACAGTTTTAATGACTCCAACCTAAGTGTATGTAAACTTCCGACTTCAACTGTATATATATATATATATATATATATATATATTAATAGTGTGTTATATTGTATTGATGTATTAATATTGATTGTTTTCTGCCCAGATGAAAATGTGCTACTAGCTAAATCAGGGGCAATGGCATGTTGTACATGGTCCCTGACAAATAAACTAATAAATAGGATGTTGCCATCAGAGGCTAGAATACAGAATGGGGAGGACACAGAATGGAGAGAATAAAACCTGCACATTTCTCCAAAGCTCAGTTGTCCTGAGTCTGCACAGAACTGCCAGGACCTAGGATCAATGGAGACACTCAAGTTTTTAAATCATGTATCTCTTGACACATTCATGAAAATAGTCATGGCCTCTAAACCCTCAAGCTGCATACTGGACCCTATTCCAACTAAACTACTGAAATAGCTACTTCCTGTGCTTGGTCCTCCTATGTTAAACATAATAAATGGCTCCCTATCCACCGGATGTGTACCAAACTCACTAAAAGCGGCAGTAATAAAGCCTCTCTTGAAAAAGCCAAACCTTGACCCGGAAAATGTAAAAAACTAAAATCGGCCTATATCGAATCTCCCATTCCTCTCAAACATTTTTGAAAAAGCTGTTGCACAGCAACTCACCGCCTTCCAGAAGACAAATAATGTATACGAAATGCTTCAGTCTGGTTTTAGACCCCATAATAGCACTGAGACTGCACTAATGAAGGTGTTAAATGAACTTTTAATGGCGTCAAACCAAGGCTCTGCATCTGCACTCGTGCTCCTAGACCTTAGAGCTGCTTTTGACACCATCGATCACCACATTCTTTTTGAGAGATTAGAAACCTTAATTAGTCTACACGGAAAGTTCTTGCCTGGTTTAGATCTTATCTGTCGGAAAGATATCAGTTAGTCTCTGTGGATGGTTTGTCCTCTGACAAATCAATTGTAAGTTTCGGCATTCCACAAGGTTCCATTTTAGGACCACTATTGTTTCCACTATATATTCTACCTCTTGGTGATGTCCTTCGGAAACACAATGTCAACCTTCACTGCTATGCGGACGACACACAGCTGTACATTTCGATGAAACATGGTGAAATCCAAAATTGCCTGCCCTGTAAGCCTGTGTTTCAGACATAAGGAAGTGGATGGCGGCAAATGTTTTACTTTTAAACTCGGACAAAACAGAGATGCTAGTTCTAGGTCAAAGACAACAAAGATATCCGCTGTTGGATCTCTACACTGGCTTCCTGTTAAGGCTAGGGCTGATTTCAAGGTTTTACTGCCAACCTACAAAGCATTACATGGGCTTGCTCCTACCTATCTCTCAGATTGGGTCCCGCCGTACATACCTACACGTACGCTACGGTCACAAGACGTATGTCTCCTTATTGTCCGTAGAATTTCTAAGCAAACAGCTGGAGGCAAGGCTTTCTCCTATAGAGCTCTATTTTTATGGAATGGTCTGCCTATCCATGTGAGAGACACAGACTCGGTCTCGGCCTTTAAGTCTTTACTGAAGACTAATCTCTTCAGTAGGTCTTATGATTGAGTGTAGTCTGGCCCAGGGGTGCAAAGGTGAATGGCAAGGCACTGGAGCGACGAACCACCCTTGCTGTTTATGCCTGGCCGGCTTCCCTCTCTCCACTGAGATTCTCTGCCTCTGACCCTATTACGGGGGATGAGTCACTGGCTTACTAGTGCTCTTCCATGCCATCCCTAGGAGGGGTGCGTCACTTGAGTGGGTTGAGTCACAGACGTGATCTTCCTGTCCGGTTTTGCGCCCCCTCAGGCTCGTGCGGTGGAAGAGATCTTCGTGGGCTATACTCAGCCTTGTCTCAGGGTAGTAAGTTGGTGGTCTGTTGATATCCCTCTAGTGGTGTGGGGGCTGTGCTTTGGCAAAGTGGGTGGGGTTATATCCTGCCTGGTTGGCCCTGTCCAGACCTGTCCGTCTCAGCCTCCAGTATCTATGCTGCAATAGTCTATGTGCCGGGGGGCTAGGGTCAGTCTGTTATATATGGTGTAATTCTCCTGTCTTATCTGGTGTCCTGTGTGAATTTAAGTATACTCCCTCTAATGCTCTCTCTCGCCCTTCCCTCCCAGATGACCTGAGCCCTAGGATAATGTACCCAGTCCACCTGGTCATGCTGCTGCTCCAGTTTCAACTGTTCTGCCTGAGGCTAGGGAACCCTGACCTGTTCCCCGGACGTGCTACCTTGTCCCGGACCTGCTGTTTTCAACTCTCTCTCTCTACCGCACCTGCTGTCTCGACCTCTGAATGCTTGGCTATGAAAATCCAACTGACATTTACTCCTGAGGTACTGACCTGTTGCACCCTCTACAACCACTGTGATTATTATTTGACCCTGCTGGTCATCTATGAACGTTTGAACATACTGAAGAACAATCTGGCCTTAATGGCCATGTACTCTTATAATCTCCACCCGGCACAGCCAGAAGAGGATTGGCCACCCCTCAGAGCCTGGTTCCTCTCTATGTTTCTTCCTAGGTTCCTGCCTTTCTAGGGAGTTTTTCCTAGCCACTGTGCTTCTACATCTGCATTGCTTGCTGTTTGGGGTTTTAGGCTGGGTTTCTGTATAGCACTTTGTGACATCTGCTGATGTAAAAAGGGCTTTATAAATACATTTGATTGAATACAGAATGGATAGAATACATAATGGAGAGAATACAGAAGTCAACCGTACCTGTTTGTACTCTCCTATGATGGAACCGTTCTTCTTTATCTCTGACTCTGATTTGTCCAGCTCCCGTCTGCACATCTCTTTCAGCTGTAGACAGACAGGCACGTCAACTTGATATTACATGCAGAATTAATAACTTCACCTCTAACCTGCAATATAAGGACTTCATCTCAGTCAGGACAGGAGTTAACTGTCCTTGGGCCTGTATAAAGTGTGTACAGTAGTGACACACTCAAGGAGTAGTACATACACACACACACACACACACTCAAGGAGTAGGAAAGATGTAGTCATCAAGAGGACATCAACAAAGGACAGTGGCAACGGCAGATGCCCCCTGAGACCGTTGTACACGTAAGTGGATGTCATGAGAAACACAGTAGGTGGAGCAGCTATTGGCAGGTCCTGTGCTAGGGGCAAAGTCATGTCCTTGGAACACAGACCACGGCCACAGTACATGGGGGAGCACACCATCCCCGTCTTAAATAGACAGACAAAAGGAGAGAAAGAATACTGCTTTCCCACCAAGGTGCATGAACAGAAAAGCATTCTGATGATGGAAAAAATATTCTGCAACTCTCCGGAGGACAATGGCAGTTTACTTCAAAATAATTATTTATCGATCAAACCAACACATTCAATTCCATTGTCAGTGAACTTCTATTGTCCTTCCAAGACTGCAATATTATTTTCATTTTAAAGAGAGACAAACAGACAGAGACAGCCAGCCAGTCAGACGAACAGACAAACAGACGAACAGAGACAAACAGAGCCAGCCAGCCAGCCAGACAGACAGACCTGCGCAGACTCCTCCTCTAGTCGTCTCTTCTCATCCTCTGAATCCACCAGCTTCTGTTTGGTCATCAACAGCTCCTTGTTCAGAGCGTCTGCTTTCTCCTCAGCCTGAGGGACAGTCACACACATGGGTATAGTGACAAGGTCAATTGACAATAGCTAACACAAAATGACAACAACAAACCTATCAGAATAAAAATGTGCTTGACAGCTAAATGGGTTTTGGGTAATAGAAAGCGTACGAGCGCACACACATGCACGCCCACGTTTACAAACTCGCACAAGTCTAAGAAACTGAATTTGGGGATAATGTGTCAGCCTTACGTTGTCCAGGTCCTTGCGCAGGGCGATCTTGCTGCTGACCAGTTCATGGGCCAGGTCATCGTTCTCCTGCTCCAGACGCATGTTAGCCTCCTGGAGACGACGGTTCTCCCTCTACAGGACAGAAGGAAAGGACGGAGGAGGAAGGTAGGAGTGAGTAGGTGAAGGAGAGAGTGAGAGGAGAAAGTAGAAAGATTGGGAGAGAGGAGGAGAAAGGAAAAAGGAGTGTGTGAGTGGAAAGAGTAGAGAATAGTGAGAGAGAGAGAAGACAGTAGCCTGTTGCCCGGCTGCACTACTGAAGCTCCCCCGATCTTCTTCCTGTTTCTCTCAACTCGTGACATATATAATGTTTAACTATGCTTGTAAATGACAACCTTTGAGAATAGCCTTGATTAAAAATGGACCTGGCTGCAGTACACAAATTCCTCTCCAGACATTCCTGGCATTACAACTACGTAATCGATAATCAAGTCCACCGGGCTGAGATTGAGACTGTGCACAAGCAGATGTTTGTGTGCACAGTCCACTTAAGAGACTAGCTCAACTCCATCACTCCAATGTTGTGTGATTACCATGCCTCTTAGGTGAAGTTAATAATAGCCAGTCCAATAGCACGACTCAAAACTAGGGGGTAAACTATCTGACTAATTGATTGACCTGAACCAGCACTTGCACTTGACCCTCCAACTCTACTGATAGCTACTTTATTGAGGAAAAATGTACTTTCTATGCCTGTGATGTGGCCGTCCCACCTAACTATTTTAAGATGAATGCACTAAGTGTAACTCGCTCTGGATAAGTGCGTCTGCTAAATGACTCGAATGTAAACATGTATAGTACCTCGTATCTCTCAATGGGAGCCTCCTGCTGCTCCTGCTGTTCTCTCATGGTGTGGTACTCCTTCTCATACTTCTTCAGCTTCTTCTGACTGATCTGTAGAGACATGGACAGACAGATGCACTGTTACTGGACAACATCTACAGTAGGTCTACAGTACACAACAAGGAAGTAAGGGTGAGGTCATTGGAAGTGTTGTGAGGGCTCCCCATAGCCTTTGGTTACAGCTCTAGGCAACAGGGTGTCTCTGATGGCAGTACTAGTCAGGTGTGTTCTGACCATAACAAGATAAATACTTGATTAGAGCGGACCCCATTTTGACGACTGGTCGATTGTTTGGTCGATAGGCTGATGGTCGACCGAGATTTCATTAATCGAGCAGCGGCAACAACAAACAATCTTAATTTCATGGTGTACAAGACACCTGTCTGATTCGCACCTGTCTGAGTGGACTGATCCATTGTGGAGGCCGTGGGGATGGCAGTCCATCACTAAGACGTGCTACTGAAATTGTATTAGAAACACTAATAAAAATGATGTTATTTTATAACAATGGGGCTTTCTCCCACATTGGATAGTGGTCGCTGTCCGCGGTTCTGAAACAGTGCGCTGTTGAATTGGTGCTTTTTCCTAGACCATGTTGCTATCTGCATAATAGCAAAGTTAACCAGCATATTGGTGTTGAGAACAATGCGGCGGAGGCAGCAGCAGAGTTAGGAGAAGAGGAAACAGCACTTGCCTTAATTGTCTAAGAAAAGTGAGGAGAGAGGAAACGGCAACTTAATTAGGTCTATAACAGTGTTTCCTCTGAAAAGATTTGTAGCAGTGGGGGGAAAAGGTCGCAGAGGGGGTTCCCTCCTATAATTTTTATGTAGAAGGACTGAGGAGCTCAGTTCTGGTCACTTTTTAAAAGGACATTCTACTCCAAAATGAATTAAAATAAGTATGCCGACACCATCTAAAATAGAATTTCCACCTCCAGAAATTAACCAAATAACACATTGGTAAAATTATTTGTTAAAATTATTTTAACATATTGGGCCATGTACAGTATATAGCCTATGCATGGTCCATATTATCAGCTATGCTATTAGCAATAAACATTATCACCTTTAACCCAACTGATGCAGCAAAGAGAAAATAAATAGGCTGAAGCATGGGGTTGCCTACCTGCATGTACCCTATTGGGCTAATCATTAGCCAGATCTCAAATGTGATATTTTAACTAGTTATTATCAAATTGATTCATTTGATATCCAAAAAAACTTGCATAAACACTGAATATAATGTAGGCCTACCTGTTAAGGTACCTTAGGGTAACTCGCCACCCGGGGTAAAAAGCCCCCTGCCTGTACTTCTCACAGAAACCACTTCATGTCACAATTTTACCCCCAACACTTTCCCTGGTTTTCACTACTCTTGCTCAACAAAAAAAATAATAATAATATAATATATATAATATAATAATAATATATAATATAATATGCCATTTAGCAGACGCGACTTATAGTCATGCGTGCATAAATTTTTTTGTATCAGTTTTTTTTGTGAATCTGTCTCATCACAATTTAAGTCATTCCAAATAAATGATTTTGAGGTACCAAAGGCGTTGTACCCCAAGTCACCTTACAAATGACCGGTGTTACATTTAGCCCCACTCTCCCCTATGCACTCACTGCGAATTGCATAGCGGTAACGTGCTTAACCATGTTTCTGCTAAAAAACCCGGTTTAAAATGGCGCAGTTCGTGCATATTTAGGAGTTGAGCAATAAATAAAGTAGGAATGGAAAGCTGGGATTCCCCTCTTTTTAACAAAAGCCATTAAAAATGCTGTTTTCGCGATTGCAGAATTTTTGTGCATTGACTGCTTGTCAGAATGCATGTTTCCCTCCCTATGGCACATATAACATGAAAGCGCCACGAGAGGAACATTTATTTAGCATAGAACACAACAACAAACCGACTAGGTAAATAGATAAACTATTCTACTATGGGGTTGTTAGATTTTTTTATTAATTACTCGTTTTGTTTGCAGAGGAAATGTACATGTGGAATGTTCTAGAATCTTCAAAATGCGCCTCAGCAGAAATATAAACATTTTTATGTTCCATATTTTTTTTGTTGCGTGGCGGAAATGATTTTGCCGTGGCGCAGCAACACTCCAAAATGAGTGCAGCGGAAACACTGGTCTATAATCAATAGCCTAACTGTTAAATGTGCCTGGCTTTATAAATCATCCATATATATCTCCAGAAATAAGACAGATCCTGCTTCTGTTTGAGTGTTTGTTTAATAGCCTACTGATTCCGTGAGCACCAAGCCTCAGCAACCACAACATGTCGGATAAACAATTTCACAATAGGAGTCATTCATGATTTGAAATGCAATCAAGCATTTTCGTTTTAAAATAAAATAAAGCGACCTTTGAATAATTAGTGTAAACAATAAATACATTTCTGAAATAGAAATTGCATTCACGAATTAATGCGACTGTTTTTAGTCTTTGCTGTAATAAAGGCTTTACAAAAAAACATTACAACAGACTCTGGTACGCTTATAATTTATTTTGTGTTGTTCAGAATGTTCTAAACGGTCAGAAAAAGTATATTGTATTCTAACAGCACCTGTTTGGCACACATAATATGCACGCAGCGCTTGCTCCTTACACTTATTTTTCTTGATCTCTAGTATTTTTCACAACTAGTCAAATGTATTCCACACATCCGACTTCCCCTTTACCTCCTGAGCATAGAGTAAACATGTTCGGAGTTTGTTACAACCAATTTATTGATGTGATTATGATATTGTATAGGTCAAACCCTACTTGTCACGTGGATGCGATGCATACATGTGTCACGTAAATAGAGCAAGGATTGAGGGAATAGGGAATGTTTTTCCTAAACAAATGAGATTTCGGTAACATAACTTTTCAGTCAGAAATGGCTGGAATTATGTTGCAGCTTCAGCAACACGGACAGAGCGATAAACACTGTTGAAGTTATGTAGTGGTCGCAGCAGCATGGAGGAGAGAGAGACAACGGGTGATAGTCACACGTTGTCATTTTTTTTTTACCCAGCGCAGCAAATCCGAGCACAATCAAATTAATTGCGGTCAGACTCCCTCTAGTCATTTGTGTATTCATTATTTAATCAAACAGTGAGCGTAAAGCATCAGACAAGCTCAGTGCATATAGTTGACTTGATTAAAACACATAGGATGTGTCTATATATCGAAAAATACATGTTTTAAAAATTTCGACCAATAATTTGTCAAAAGAACAGATTACTCTCGGTCGATAATAACTAAATAGTAATTTACTGATAAACCTGCAAATTGGTCAAGAACGAGTTACTTGTTGGTTATGCTGCATGTACAGTACTTCAATAAAAACCATGAACAACCATGCATCTGTCTGTGTGATTATCAACAGCTCTTTCAAAGCCCTGCCTTTCACTTCCCTCCACTGCTGCCCTTGTACACAGAGCAGCCGTTTCTCAAAGCACACTCAGCATGTTGTAATCAGCATGTAGGGGAGTAAATACTGTATGCTCTTTCTCCAGCAGGCAGCTAGTTGTAAATGAGGTCTATTTAGCCGGCTGTGGTTTCCTCCAGCTACGACCACAGTACAGAACCGGGTCTGTTGTGGAGGAGCAGGTCCATAATGGTCCCAGTGATGACTGCAGATTCAGCTATTCATGATACACTGGCTTCACTACACTACTGACACACCTGCTATGCTATGAGGGCTTAGTAGCTGGTGGTTACATTCTAAAACAGCATGGCCTACATGAGTTTGAATGCTAGCCTTTAGTATATGAAAGTGAGTGAGTGAGTGAGTGAGAGAATGTGAGTAAGTGAGTGTGTGAGTGAGTGAAAGAGAGAGCGTACATGCAGGTTGAGCACGACCAGACACAGTGTGAGAAAGTTAGAGTGTTGAAGGCAGGAAGTGCCACATCTAGTCAGAGCCCCAATCTGTCCCAGTCTGACAGCTATTGTTCGAGCAACCATCCGAGCAGAAGAGAAACACTGGGTGACTCTAGGATCAAAGAGCCGTGTCACTGACAACACAGCACATCTCTGCTAACTGAACAACATCAGAACAGAACTGTACACACAGGGTTCACTGACACACCCTATGACATGATGAGAGTATTGTCACTTACTCAATTCAACACAGCAGCCCCAAAAATGTCCATTAGGCTATTTTTACAGAATTGTGCAGATAAAATAAGTGTGCGCACACAAGGGTGTCCCTCAGTCTGTGTGCGCATGTGA